TGTAGGGAAGGTTTGTCACAGCTCCACTGCTGCGGAAGAAAAGAGCATTTAGGCAGTGAAGAGATTCACTAGATACCCAGGCTTCCTTCATTTAGCCTTTTGTCATATCCTAAATTCTTTGAAAATATCTTACAGCTTACCCAGTTGGCCCTTTTTATGTCTGTTCACAGAGATAATACTGCTCGGGTTTTGTTTCATAAATGTTAATGAGGAAATACAGTTATTTATTAACAGGAAAGCTGGGAACAGACACAGAAAGGTGGGTTTTATCTGACCTACAGTAAATTGCCCTTTAGAAAGAAAATGCCCGGTATTTTCCTTCCTTGTGCAAGGTACCGAGGGCATTCAAAATAAGAACAGGCAACATAATGTTGAGAGAAGGATACATATAAAAATAGAGATGTGTGTATGTGTATATATATATACACATACAAACGTGTTTCAGACAGGAATAGACTTTGTAAATATTTTATATAACTATATATGCTTGTAAAGGCCATTCCTGCCCCATTTGAAAGCCTGTAAGCTGCAATGTATCATTCTGATCCCAGGAAACAGATGGGTACTCCGGCTCAGACATAAAACTCGTGTGCAAGGAAGCAGCCATGCGACCAGTGAGGAAAATTTTCGATGCTCTTGAAAATCACCAGCCAGGTACTGCAGCTCTGAGTAGAGAATCTGATCTGGGAAATGGTGATCTACTGCTCTAACTCTGGAAATTATAATGTTGGCCCCAGCAGGTGGAGCTCTGTTACCTGCTCCGAAAAGTTTTAAACTACTTTTTTAAAACATCCACCTGAGCTAACATTTCTGAAAATTAGGCCTTTTTTTTAAAGCTGTATCTATGCTCTGTGCACAAATACAAATTCTGCTTTATCTCAATAGGTTTACTCTTTTGTTTTCATGTATTAAGTGTTGCATTAGGCAGGAACATAAAAGAATGTCTTTTGGCAATAATAGCAGTATTTAATAATTTTTTTCTCTTTAGGTAACAGTAACTTCCCCGTGATCCAATTAGACACGATCACAACTGCAGATTTCCTGGATGTGATCGCCCACACCAAACCATCAGCAAAGAATCTAAGCCAGAAGTACACAGCTTGGCAGAGAGAATTTGAGTCAGTTTAAAAAGAAAGAAAAAAAACCCAAAAGATTGAAAATTTCCAAGATTTTTGCTATCCAAAATGGCATTGCCTTGCCTCCAAAGGATCGAACGGTGAAGGGGGAGGAAGTGCTGCTGTTTCCAGGGAAGAGAATGCAGTGACAAATGTCAGGGGGAAATTTTCACTTTCAAAATTTAATGTGGGGGGTGTTTGGTTATTTTTTATCAGCCATTTTCGATGACCATTCAAAACACATTCTTCATGGAAGTAACATAATGACAGTTGCTGTGTAATGAAGACCCCAGACTTAACTGTATGGATAAAGACTTAAAAAATTGATTGCTTCTCTGTCTTTATTCACAACAGTTCTTTACAGGTTTGGGGTAGAAGAACTGGAGCAGAAAGCCTGTTGAGAACAGTTAGATGATTAGTGTAATTCTCCCTTTCTGAGACCCACTACAGCATCACAATCAGCAGAGACCTGCACCCTTTTTTTATGAAAACGTGACTGCTTTCAGTGAAATCGAGGACCTTAGCAGTGCCTCGTAAATTTGGTTAGCTTGTCATTGTTTTCAGCTGAGATCAAAGCCTGGATATGCCAAATGTGTTACTTTCCAGATGGTCTGGGCTATTTCCGAGGATGAAAAGGCAAGGAATTAGAGGAACTTGGCGACATTGTAGAAAATTAGCAGATTTAGGCTAAGTAACTAGAAGCTGGATTGGTGGTTACTCACTGTTTGCAAACAGTGAGTCTTTGCAGAGCAGTAGTAAATACTAGCCAAGTCAGAGACTTTTCTGCTTACATACAGTCAGGACTGCCGTGTGTCCTTTAATCTTTTAATTCGAAATACTAATCAGTCATCTTTTTAGGCTCTCAGGTCTCATTGCTGCCCCTGTCTTGCTTGGCAAGACAACTAGTTATCCTCTTTGCAGTTCTCCCAATGTTTTCCTTGCATGAGCTTGTGTTCAGCTGCTTTTGTAAGTACCGCCATCTCGCATGCTTTCCAGTGTGCTCCGGGACCTCAGAAGCACTGATAGTCTCTTTTTTCGTTCTAGCGTCACTCATGTTGTCACAAGTCCTTTATGGGAAATGTCTGCACAGGATTTTGCTTACAGACCTCTCACCTCCTGAACCTGACCCTGACTATGGGCCTGTCCTGGTTTGAGGTAAAACAGGACCAATTTTGTTCAGTAACTTTGCTTCTTAGCTGGGCCTCTTCTAACTACTGAAGTTAACAGCGTATTGTGCAGACAGTGTTTGCCCTCAGAGTGATAACAGACCTATGTTTATAGTTGATGCCAAGGCGTGGTATGTGGAGAGGCTCTTGCTTATACGTATTGCTATAGCACCAAGGCCAACCAACTTTGTTA